AAAGATGCTTGTGCCTGAGCTGGAGGCTCGGGTCCCGAGGAACTGCCAGCCTGTGTTGGTCCACGTGGCCACCCCTCCCAGGCCCTTCGGGCCCCCGTGCCCGGTGGGCCAGGGGCCTGTGCAGGGCAGGGCTCATGGGGCTCCACCAACTGGCTCCAGGCCCATCTCCCCGTGGAGATGCTCGTGGGTGTGCAGGTGTCTCAGGGAAGAGGATTTGGGGAGAACCACCCAGCTGTTCTCAAAGTACATCCTGGGGACCGTACGCTGGACCTATGAGGTCAAAACTGTTTTCACAACAATGCTGAGCAGTAATTGGCTGTGTCCTCATGAGTGTAGGTGGCTTTCCCAGAGGTCACGTGATGCGACGCATGGGGGTGTGCTGGTGGCGGTGGCACGTTGTCCTGTTTCACACATTCCTCAGTTTTAAGCTCAGATGCAGTAAATGTTGACAGCTACAGCCCACGTGAGGCAAAGCTCCCGGGGTCCCTGTGGTCAGTCCGGGGTAGAGGCCCCAGGAGGGGGACACGGCTGCACGCCAGGCTGGCCAGCCTCCTTCCGAGCCGCCCACCGCATCTCCCGGAACTCTGGCGCATGGGCCTGTGCCCACGGCTCCCGTTCGCACGCCCTCTGGGCCCTTCCCGTGCCACGTGACTCAGTTCTGTGCGGGGTGGGGGGGGCGGCAGCTGAGATGAGCCTGAGATTCACAGTTTGGGTCAGAGTCACACCTGGGACAGCCATGGTGGCAAAGCCCTTGAACTTTTAGTACAAAGAAGGCATTCTTCATTTCCCGGGGCTGTGCCTGGGCTCGGGCGTGTGGGGGCAGAGGTGCCCAGAGTGGAGTGTGTGGGGGAGATGGGAGAGCGTGTTGCCAGAAAGGCCCCTTCAGGGTGGGAGGAGGTCCTGGGAGTGAGGCCCAGAGTCAGGGGCAGTGTAGTGGGGGGCAGGAGAACCTCATCTGAACCCTTGTAGCTGTGCGTCCCTGGGCTAGTGGCTTCCCCTCTCCGAGCCTCAATCTCCTTGGCTCCTCGGTGGGTGGATACTGGTGAATACTGGTAGCTATGTTTCAGGTAGTGGTGGGTTCAGATGAGATGTTGGGTGAAAAGGTGAGCTCGAGGTTTACAGGACGGAGGCCGTGGTTGGGGGGAGGGAATCCCGGGGGCTGGGACGGGGTACCATGAAAGCCATGACCCAGCCCCTCCCGAGTGCCTAGAAGAGCCCCGGGCTGCAGGCTCTTCCCCCAAAAAACTAGTTTATAGGCTGCTCTCAAGGACGGGACGATCCCAAGCAGCTGGGACAGCAAGAGAATGATTCAGGGGTACGTGCTGGAGGGAAGCCTCAGGTCTAGCTGGGTGCCCTGAAGGCGCTTGTGGATGGAAGGTCTGGGGAGAGGCAAGGGCGCTGGAGCAGGGTCATAGGACCCACATCCAGAAATAAGCCTGCGAGGTGCGCGTGGGGTCAGGTGCTCAAGGCAGCACTCAGCTTGGGGCGCCACCTCCCCCCGCCATGGGTCCAGCCTTGCGCCGGGCAAGGTGGATGGGTGTTGCCAAGCCTGCTGTCCACGGGGGCGCATTGAGGCACAATGGGGTTAAAGGTCAGAGGACCAGGTTCATTCCGGAGCGCCAGCTGACATTCAGGGCACTCCCTCATCCAGGGTCTCCTGAGTGCTCCCCTTGCCTGGCCCCCGGGGTCCGGGATGGCCAGTAGCTCACAGCCCACCTGGAAAGCTGCCCAGAGGGTCCGTGTCCACACAGCACGGTGCATGCTCCCCCTCTCGGAGGAGACTGAGAACACGCACATACAGCCTGCCCCCCTGCATCCCCCAGGGCCGGCCAGAGGTCTAGGCATAGCCTTATTTGAGCCCATCTCCTGGGCCCCCTCCCTCCACACCGGTCTCCCTGCTGCCCCTGAAGCCACCACAGGGCCTTTGCACCTCCTTCCCTTGGGACACTTGCCCCAGACCGTCTAGCGCCCCTTCTAGGCTGCCACTCGGACCTCACCTTCTCACCGGGCCCCCTGCCCTTCTGACCGCCCTGCCAGCTCTCTGCCCCTGACACCCCCTACGCAGTGTTCCCTCTTGCCTGGTACTGTCTGGCCCCCGAGGGGAGCTGGCCAAGCCCTACGGTGGGCAGGGGCTCACGGATTGTCCGTCCAGTGAACCAAGGAAGGAAGGAAGGAGACCAGGTGTGCCCAGTGCCGGGCCCTCCCTGCCGCCTCCGGGTCCTTCCGGCCGCGTGGACAGCCTGCCCGCTGGGGCCCTTCCCCAGCCCGTGCGATGGGGTCCGTGTGTTTGTGCATCTGATGTTTCTTCCTCGAGCCAGGTGTTCACCCCGGGGGGCAAATGGCTGTGCTGCGCTGGAGTCTGGCGGTGCGGACGGGGTGCTCCTGGGAAGGTGGGGCCCTGCCGCTCCGGGCCAGGGGACCGGTGCAGGTGCAGTCCTGCGCCTCTGATTCTTGCCACCTGTGGGCCTTTGGGGACAGTTAGTTTTAAACCTGCTGTGAGTCAGCTGCACCCTCTTGGAAATGCGGGTAGCAACTGTATCCACTGCCCTGAGGGCTCAGGTGGAGGAGCCCCGCCTGGAGCTTAGGGGTATTTGCTGTTGACCCCTTAGCACTTCAGGGCTGGAGGGCTTATGTGTTGGTGAGACCGTTTGAAAGCAGTTTGGCCACACAGATCAAGATCCCTTAAACACATGGCGTCTTCCTGTCTGGGAATTTCTCCTGAGGACATAGAAACTCAGACCTGGGTACCAACATGCTCATCACTGTGTTTTGGGGGCAGCCAGTTAAAAATAGCATTTATTATTATTATTTTTAAGTAGGCTCCATGCCCAGTGTGGTGCCCAACACGGAGCTCAAACTCATGACCCTGAGATGAAGAGTCGGACGCTTCACAACCTGAGCCAGTCAGGTGCCTCCTAAAATGGCATTAAAAAAATTTCTTTTGGATCCCTGGGTGGCGCAGCGGTTTAACGCCTGCCTTTGGCCCAGGGCGCGATCCTGGAGACCCAGGATCGAATCCCACGTCGGGCTCCTGGTACATGGGGCCTGCTTCTCCCTCTGCCTGTGTCTCTGCCTCTCTCTCTCATTCTGTGTGACTATCATAAATAAATAAAAATTTAAAAAAATTTTTTTCTTTTAAAAATTTTATTCATTCATGAGAGAGAGAGAGAGAGAGAGAGAGAGAATGGGGCAGAGACACAGGCAGAGGGAGAAGCAGGCTCCATGCAGGGAGCCGGATGTGGGACTCCATCCAGGGTCTCCAGGATCACGCCCTAGGCTGAAGGTGGCGCTAAACCGCTGAGCCACCCGGGCTGCCCTAAAATGGCATTTTCTTTCTTTCTTTCTTTTTTTTTTTTTTAAAGATTTATTTATTCAGAGAGAGCGCGAGAGAGGCAGAGACACAGGCAGATGGAGAAGCAGGCAGCATACAGAGAGCCTGATGTGGGACTCGATCCCGGGTCTCCAGGATCACACCCCGGGCTGTAGGCGGCGCTAAACCGCTGCGCCACCAGGGCTGCCCAAAATGGCATTTTCTAATAGAATGTCTGAGAACTTGGGAAAACACTCATCCTATATGAAGTCAAAAGGATGTGAAGCTGCACGTGCCTTGGGACCTTATGACTGTAAAACACACACACGGAAAGAAAACCGTGCTGCTGTCTGTGCTGGGCCCTCCGTGGGTGCTCCGTCCGGTGGGCTCCCACCTCGTGGGGACCCTGGAAGGTGGGTCGGTGTATATACAGCCATCCACTACGCAACATGTAATAACGGAAACTTACGGATGATACACATATCCGTATGTGACGTAGGTACACATACACGTGTGTATATGTGTGAGTGCGTAGCTAGAAATCTTTTCCAGGTGAACGTTTTAAGTTGGGGTGTTAGCCAAAGGGAGTCTGGGCTCATTTCTTCATTCTTCCCACAAAAACAAGGCCTGTTCCTGTCTTTGGGTTTTGCATCACCGGCTTGACTTTCTAACTGAAGGGTTGGCCAAGCGCCGTTCTTGCTGCGCTCGATCCCCCTCGTGCTCCGCCTATTACTTGTGTGTCTTTCTCTGGCTTCCTTCCTCGTCACCTCCCCCTGCCCTGCGGGGCTCCCCCTGCCAGTGGTGTGCGCCTCCGGACTGAGACAGGAGCCTGGCGTCCACTGGTAGCACGGTAGCTTTTCGGGGTGTACGTGGAGGGGAGGGGGTGTCGCCTCTGAGGAACACAGACAAGCCAGTCGGCGCCCTGACTCGGAAGGAAGACTCCAGACTGTGAACGCACTTTGTCCTGCTCTCCCGGCCCATCTGTCCCAGCATCTCCTCTCCCCGCCTGGCCTGTTCCAGCCCTTAAAGCGCTCTTTGTCGCTTGGCCACGTCTCCCTATTGACAGCTCTCCGTGGCTGGCACTCGTGCCTGTGCCCTGCATGTGCCGGGAGACCCCTGGGTCTGGGCGCTGCACAGCTGGGTCTCCCCCGCGTCCTCCTGGTGGCTTCTGGCTGGCCTGGCGACTCGGGGAGCAGGCTTCTGTCCCCAGGCATGCGGGACCTCACTGGGAAGGCCTGTCTGTAATTGGGACAAAGAGGTGGTGTGGGGCCCTGGGCGGTGGGGTGCACTTGGCCATCACAAAGGGGTAGGAATAGCTGGTTTCCTTCTTGGGGGGCGTCCTTGGGCTTTGCAGGGGCTGGTCATCCTTCCCAGGCTCCCCCTCCCATCTGAGGGGGAGTGGGCGCCAGGGCTCTGTGGACAGGCTCCCTGTTGTGGGGTGGCGGGTGCCCCTTCCCCAGGCTGGAGCCGGAGCCCAAGCACGGGGCCGGGCTGCTCCAGGAGGAGGACAGGCCGTCTTCCTGCCCCGGCTGGCTGCGAGGGCCACAACCCCTGCCCTGCAGGACGGAAGAGTCCCCGCGTGCTCATCACGGCCTGTCCCCCGTCCCCCGTCCCCAGGGTGCTGCTAGGCCTGGACACGTCCGTGCCCTGCTGCGGTGCTGCGGAGACCCGACGCCGGGCAGCGCCGGGAGTCACGGGCCCTCTGCCCAGCCTCTGTCGGAGGGAGCCTTCAGCCACTCCCATCGGCCTGCAGGAAGATTCTGGAAGAGCTCGTGGCCGTCCCCTGGGGGGTTCATGGGCAACAGCGGGGGCTCCCCGGAGCGGCCAGGGCGCCATGCTGCAGTGCAGGCCGGCCCAGGAGTTCAGCTTCGGCCCGCGGGCCCTGAGGGAGGCCCTGGTCTCGGCCGACCCGGCCCTGCGGCAGCTCTACACGTCCGCCTTCACCCCGGCGGAGCGGCTCTTCCTGGCCGAGGCCTACAACCCCCAGAGGACCCTCTTCTGCACGCTGCTCATCCGCACGGCCTTCGACTGGCTTCTCAGCCGCCCCGAGGCCCCTGAGGACTTCCAGGCCTTCCACGCCTCGCTGCTGCCCCGGAGGCAGAGCCCTGCCCGCAAGCACATCTACCTGCAGCCCATAGGTACCGGCCGCGGGCCCGGGGTGGGGTGGTAGGGGAGCCGGGCTCTGGATCTGAGCCCCAGGTCGGGTGTCTGTGCCCAGGCCCCAGGCGGGCCCTGACGTGAGGCGGGGTGGGACCCCGCCAGTGGGCTTGGTTTTGGGGGTGGCATGCAGGGCCCCCCTGGGTGCGGGCTCTCCATCCACCTTGACTCAGACACTGGTCAGACAGCCCAGGGCCGTGGGGCCTCTTGTGGCTCTATCACCAGCCGCCGCACACAGGGGTGGCCTCATCCAGGCACGGTGCTGGGGGCTTGTGTTAGGAGCAGCTCTGTCACAGGCAGGAAACAGGCCGGGAGAGGTCACTTGACCTGCCCAGGACGCAGAGCTGGCGATGGGTAGGGGTGGATGTGAGTGCTGGCCTGTGACCCCGGGGCCCTGCTGGGGAGGCCTGCTGGCCGGGTGCTGGGGAGGAGGCGGGGTGGCAGCCCCCGTGTGTCTGTGTGCTGAGGGTGGGGCCCCGGCCTGGCAGGGAGGGTACCTGGGGCAGGTGTGGTGCCTGGCTTTGCAGAGGAGGAGCAGGCCCGAGCTGGGGACCAGCGGTCTGCAGGCACCCCTCATGCTCCATGGCCCCGTGGCCCGTCTGCCGTCTGTGCTGGACGTGCTGCCTTCACACAGCTCCCAAACCATCCACTTTGTACCAGCGCTTCCCACGCCCTCATGAGCAGATGCACGGGCATCTCAGGTGGCCTGTGGCTCTGCATTTCCAACCAGCTGCCACCCAGGGACTCCCAGCCAGTCCCAGGCCATCCTGGCCTCTGCTCTCGGTCTGCTCCACTCTGTCCTCCTAAAATGCAGCCTGGTTGTAGCTCCCCCAGGGGTGCCTTGCCCGCCCGCTGAGCCTCATCTCACCTTCCCCAAATTCCACTCTGATCCTGCCAGGCTGGCTCTTTGCCCCATTAACCCCAAGGGGCCTCTGTGACCTGTCTCGGCTGCCCCTGGCCAGCCCCGGGGACTGTGGCCCCAGATGAGCCCCCACCCGCCCCCTGAGCTCTCCATCCTCCAGACTTGGGTCACCTGCATCTTTCTTCTGGGCATTGGCCTTTCCTTCCATCTCCCTCCTTTTATGTGTCCCTTTACAAATGTCTGTGTGCCCAACTCTGCGAAGGCAGGTCCAGTGGTCCGTGCTGGTGGGGGTTCTGGGGTGGGTGCTGGGGTGCTGGGTGCCGGCAGGGGGCCCAAGCGGCTGATGGGCTTCCCTGCCCCCAGATCTGAGCGAGGGGCCGGCGGGCGGTGCTCTGCTGGAGTACCTGAGGAACTGCACGGAGGCCTTCTTCTTGGGCTTGCAGGTCAGATGCCTGCCCTCGGTGGCCGCCGCGTCCATCCACTGCTCCTCACGTCCCAGCGGGGACTCGGACAGGCTCCAGCTGCACACAGGTGGGTGAGCGCAGTGGGGGCGGCTCTGGCCAGCATCGGCGCGAAGCTCTGCCACTTGGCACAGGGCCCTTTCTGGAACACAGAAGGTGGGAGGAAGATGCCCAGGAGAAAGAAGGAATCCCTTTCCCCCTTTTTTTATGTGGAAACCTCTATTTCCCAGCCTTGTGAAGGGGAGGGCTAAAACAAAGCTCACCTCCCCATCCGGCTGAGCGTCTGGAGACCTGACCACCAGCCTAGTGTCCATGGGAAGCCCCAGGGCGGGAAGAGCAGGTGAAGCAAGCCCTTTGGGGGCCACCTGCCACTTTACAAGATGTCACTCTAGCCTTTGGCCTTGTGTGTGCTCAGAAGACCCCTCCCTGCCCCGCCAGTCCCCGGGGTTACCGGCAGCTGGAGGGCAGCTGGGGGAGGGGCACAGATGGACTGGGGAGCTTTGGGATGTGTGGGACACCCAGACTCAAGTCTCAGGGGTCTCAGGACGGGGCTGGGACTCAGGCTGACACCGCATCTGGAGGCATCGGGTGGTTTATGGGCTGTAGGAAGCCCCCAGCCGGCTCCAAGCGGAGGTGTGTTAATCCTTCCGCCTCTCTCCTGTATCTTCCCTCTCCTTGTACCCCAGCCACGCTTCATTCCCTTGCAGCTAATCAATTCCGCAACTGCACCAAGTATCTGTGATGCCCGCACACCAGGTTCCTAACCTCAGTTATCCTACTTTGCATTTCTGTAGTTCCTAGGGGATTCTTTCTCAAATGAGTAGTGTCACTTTTTAAAAAATACCACTTGCCTGCTAAAATTTAAGCTCCGTATTCATACCCACGCACGTAGTTGCTGTGGTTTGTCTGATTCCACCGTCAGGAGCACGCTGGTCGTCTTGCTGCCTGCGTGTCATGTTATTTTTCATTGTTAGCTGGACATCTTAACTAGAAAGTTAACTTTTAGAAGAATTTGTGGCCTGGGATGATGTGATTTGCCCTAGGAAGGATTCTGGTTTTCCTCTGCCCAGCATGCGTGGCTGCTGCCTGAGATGAAGGTGTGCAGCTTTTCTGGAGGCCCGCAGCCCCGGGAGTCCAGCCCGCACCCCTCCCTCCTCCCAGGAGCAGCTCAGCCTTAGCTGCCTGCTGCAATCCTCTCCTGGATCTAATTTCCCATCAGGTCTCTGATTTTTTTTTTTTAAAGTCGTATTTGCTGAGGTACAATCCATGTATAATGAAACTCTCCCTCTTGTAACAGCTCTGTGACCTATGACCCAGTCGCCACGGTAATCAGATATAGAAAAACTTGCTTCGTGTCCCCCTACCCCATAATGTGCAGAGTGACCCCTGAGGCCGACTCTGCCCCCGCCTAGGATGCCTTCAGTTCTTATCTTGTATTTCACTCAGCTTGTCTGGTTATCTTCGGCAGGAGTGCAGGTCGCAATCCCTAGCACATGTTAGGGGAGAGGCTGGCATGGAGTTTTCAGGGGACTCTTGGTGGGGGCAGGTGCCATCCTAATGGTGGCAGGTTCTTTCCCGCATCCCAGGCTTTGGGGTTCGGCCACTAAGACCCTCTCCCGGTCCTAGACCCCTCTGTCTGGAGGACACAGCGCTGCTCCAGGGTTGGCTCCTGACTGCTGCATCTCTGTCCACACACCTCCAGTTCTGTCTGAGCCTCTGTCTCCCTTTCTAAGGACTCTAATGATTGCACTGGGCCCACCTGGATAATCCAGAATAACTTCTCATCTTAACGCCTTCAATTTAATCATGTCCATAAAGTCTCTCCCACCATGTGAGGCAGGACATTCACAGGCCCTGGGAACTAGGATGCAGGCGTCTCTGGGACCACTGCACTTTCCTGTGAACACTGGTCCCATTGGTCAAGAGGCCTTTCTGTCGTCCCCACTCGGATGACTCTGGGCCTCTCAACCACCATGACCAAACTACCTCTCCTGAGTTTTGGAGATGGAAACTCCGAGCTCTTACCCACATGACCCAGGCCTCCTGACCCTGAGGCTCAGGCCTGCAGCCCCTGCTCCACGTCGTGCGGTGTGGCTGCTTTGGCTTCTCTGCCTCAGCCTGCCTGCTTCTAGTGGAAGGTGGCTAGCCTGCCCCTGACTTTGGGAAGGCCTGGCTGCAGGCAGAGGAAGAGGGGATGATGGGATTTGCCTGCCCTGAGCCTTGGGCCGGGAGAGGGGGCCCCAGCCGCCTCCTTACCTTCCCTCTGCCCTCCTAGACGGCATCCTGTCTTTCCTGAAGAACAGCAAGCCAGGTGATGCGCTGTGTGTGCTGGGCCTCACGCTGTCCGACCTGTACCCCTGCGAGGCCTGGAGTTTCACCTTTGGCAAGTTCCTTCCAGGACATGGTGAGCTCAGCTTGCGCACCTGGGGCGCAGGTATGGGGCAGTGTGCATGTGTGAGCACCCCCCAATGCTGGGGAAGAGGGCACACTATCCTGAAACATGCATCCCCACAGCCTCCTCTTGGGCCAGGGCTATTCCTCAGGCTCCGGCTTCTGCCTCAGTGCGCCTTCGTGTGGGTGCGCCAGCAGGGCCAGGCCTTCAGGATCTGTGCGCATCCTGAGGACGGGGTGGCTTTGCTCCCAGGCTCCCCGGGTGAGGCTGCCCTGTGTCTCTCGCTTTCTCCCCAGAAGTGGGCGTCTGCAGCTTTGCCCGGTTCTCGGGGGAGCTCCTGCAGTCGGGGCCCAGCGCCTCTGATCCAGCCCTGGCGGAGGGGGCTGCAGATGGCCCTGAGACACACGTGCAGGATGGAGGCCAGACCCTGTGCTTCAGCGCCCTGGGGATGATCCAGTGCTGCAAGGTGGGCTGGCGGCCAGGGGGTGGGCTCGGGTGCTAAGAGATGGGACAGCAAGAGGATGGAAGGCCCGGGGCTCTGCTGATCCTGGGTATATGCTAAGGCCGCACCGTCAGCCGTGTCCAGTCCTCACGACTGGGCCAGGCTTTTGAGCATAGAAACCAGGGCCAGGCTCAGAGCTGCCAAGGCCTTTGCTGAGCTCCCTTGGCTTTTAAGTGGCAGGATTGGGATTTGAACCTGGGTTTGCTGCCCAAGCTCCCGGCAGGGTGGCCTCTGGGTGCCTCTGCACAGAGATACCAGTCTGTGCCCTGTGTAATCAGGAGCGGGGACCCAGTGCTCCCCGGCCATCGGGTGCCCCGGTGGGGCCGCCCGGGGACTTGGCCGGGGGTCGGGCTCATGGCTGTGAGGGCAGGGGTGCTGTGCCGTCTCCCTCAGGTCACGTGCCACGAGCTTTGCCACCTCCTGGGCCTGGGGAACTGCCGCTGGCTGCGCTGCCTCATGCAGGGGGCACTCAGCCTGGACGAGGCCCTGCGGCGGCCCCTGGACCTCTGTCCCATCTGCCTGCGGAAGCTGCAGCATGTCTTGGGCTTTAAGCTCGTCGAGAGGTACAAGGTGAGTGGCATCGGGGCAGCCAACCCCTGGACAGGGCAAGGGCAAGTCCCAGCTCCACCCCTCCCACCTGCTGCTCCCCTCCCATTGGGCCTGGCACATGGGCGTTGGAGGGCAGTGGGTGGCGTGCGGGGTCCTGTGCGAGAACCCGGGTAGAATGAACAGTCGCCTGGGCCAACTTCTTGGCATCCTGCTCAAGTTGGGTGGCACATCATGGCCCTAGCCGAGCGCCTGCCCCACGTCCACACCCAGCAATGGTGGCCGTTGCCATCAGGTTGTACCAGGACGGACAAGGGGCAGATGGCTTTTATCTCTCAGGCCACAAGAGTGAATACCAAGGAGCTCTGGGTGCTGGTCAGGTGCAGGGGGGCGGTGGGGGGCATCCTAGCGCTTCCTGTGACTGCTCAGGCCCCCTCTTGCATCACAAAGGGTCCCTCTGCTGCCCTGCACCTGCCCCGTCGCTTCTCCCTCCTCCACCCCCAGGGCTGGCCTCTCAGGAGGAGGAGGAGGAGGAGGAGGAGGAGGAGGAGGAGGAGGAGGAGGAGACCCAAGCTTTCTGGGAGGTCCCAGCCCAGCAGCCAGGCCAAACTGGCGGGGCGATGCTGCCCTCTGCTGTCGCCTCCAGGTGCTGCCCGGAGCAGGGTCCCCAGGCAGGCCCAGGGCCCAGGGCGATGGACCAGCGTCTGCCCCAGGGGAGGAACCCCATCCTAGGGGAAGAACCCCATCCTAGGGGAAGATGGCTTTGCAAAGGCAACCTTAATTCTGAGTTCAGAACCCAAAGGCAGGTGGTTGTTATTAAGGCCCATCAACCAAATTGCTTTGGCTTAATTTTAAAATCAAAACTTTTTGACCTGAAGTTGTGTTTGAAGTTCTGGGACACCCCCTCTTGGAGGCTGGCAGCCTGGGTAGCATGAGGTCGCTCTCTGGGGTCAGGTCACAGCACCAGGCTCCATAGGGGACAGGTTCTTGGGCACCGCTGGACGGGGAGGGCCTGCATTTCTCACGGGCTTCTGGGGTGCTGCTGGGCGGGAACCCCACTGTGAAGACAACCGAGCTAGGGGGCTGGGTGGTTCCAGGTCCCAGAGCTGCCTCCCCGTGTGGATCTTTTCTGAGTGACTCTGGGGAACGGCCAGCCCGACTGGAGAGGGGATCCCACCCTCAGCCCTGTGGAGGGCAGACGCCCAGGTGGCAGCGGGCTCAGGTGGGGCGGCTGAGGGCGGGCCCGAGGGTGCAGCTGGCATGGCTGCTATGCGTGTGAGGTGACAAAGCACTGGGACCCCACTTGTATCTTTCCTCGGGACTGTGTTCACCTGACATGGCTTTCATGGCTTTGTCCCTCTATCTTTCCACACACACCCCTGCCCAGGAAGAGCCTCACTCACGTGATCGTGGAGGTGACCTCATGGTGACAGAGGGCCTGGCCACGAGCAGTCCCTGCTGTCCCTCTGGACCAGTCAGCAGGGTGCTGGTCAACACCTGCTAGAGACCCAGCTGCGGTTTGTAGTGTAGGTGATGCTGGAGGCAGTGTTGGGAAGGGGCGTCCACCATGCAGACCCCAGGCAGGGAGATGAGCAGAGGTCGGAGCGAAGTCAAACCATGTAGAAAGGGAGGAATTTTGAGTACTTATTGCTCTTAATACAGTTTGAGTTAAATTATGTAGAGCTTACGACTAAATATTAAGGGTCAAGTTGAAGAACCAGTGTGCGCCGCTCCTGAGAGTTTGTGCATGGGCCCTGGCAGCAGAGGCCTGGGGGGACCCGGGCCAGCGGGGGGCCCTGGGGTCCCCCGGGAAGGGGTTGGACCTCCTGGCAGCGCTCTGGCTTGGCGGGTGACGGCACACAGAAACCCCAGCCTGCATCTCTCCCTCCCAGAGACTTTACGCCTGGACTCAGGCAGGAACTCGGCCGCGGCCCGGCCTGGATGCAGGGGTGCCATCGGTGGCGGAGGACACCCCGCCCTGCAGCGCTGACTCGGGCCTGAGCTGCGGAAGCGAGTCAGAGCCGGGCAGCAGCCTGTCGGAGCCTCTGACCCCCGACGCGTGGAGCCACAGCTTCTCGGTGGGGCCGGAGCTGGAATCTGAGGACGGGCTGGGCTCCCTGGCCATCCCGGAGAGCCCGCCGCAGCCCGGACCCCCGCGCGAGGCCATCGAGGAGCACGGGCGCTGGCTGGCGCTGTGCATCCAGGCCCTGGAGAGGGAGGTGACGGAGGAGGAACTGGCGCAGGTGGACGCAGCCGTGGACGCCCTGGCGGGGTGGGAGATGTTCACGGGGCACCTCCCAGCCCCCAGGCCGGACCTACCCTGTGGCCGAGACGGCACAGGCCTGCGCCGGGTCCTGGGGGGCACGTTCTCCTCCCTGAGGAGGAAGCTGAGCGCGCGCAAACTCTCCAAGACGGCATCATCCCCCTGTCGCTGGAGGGCGGAGGAGAATTAGTGCGAGAGTCTGTCTGTCCCTGGGGTGTCCTGCGCCATGCGCCCCCGGGGCCCAGGAGGGGAGCTCTCTAGGGAAGCGGAGGGAGATGAGCTGTAGCCCTTTGTCTGGGTCCCAGCAGAGGGTCATCAGGCCCAGCCTGGCCTGCACATCCCTCTGGTCCTCCAGAGCTGGAGCCCGTCTGTGCTCCCCAGGGGAACGAGGGGCCGTGGGGTAGGGCACTCAGGGCCCTCGGAGCCTCGGCTTCACACGGCATCCCCAGGACTGCCCTGGAGCCCTGGAGGCCGTGTCCGGGGAGGCCTGGCCTCTCCCCACAGCCGCTGCCAGGAAGGGTCTAGCTTATGGAGGTGTCCGAGACTGCCACCTGCTGCCACCTGCTGCCACCTGCAGTGGTGAAAACAGTGCGGTCTGCTGACAAAGGCGGCCTCCAGTGTCCGGTGCTTCAGAGTCTCTGGCTTCTTCACGGAATTTTCGGACTTTTTCCGACGAGGGCCGAGGCTGAGGCAGCCAGCCTGCCTGGGGGCTTCTGTGTCCCTTTGAGTCTGTAAAGCTGTGCTGCTTGTACTAGAAGCTCTGCGGTGCACGCACACTTGCTTGTCCTGTCCTCGTTCTCAAGTACCCCTGGTTGCTGCAGGGAGAGAAGCTTCCAGTTCCTAGGGCAGAGCTCCTGCAACATGAGGAGGGTGGGCACAGCTCCTTCTCCCTCCTGGAAAGAGGCAAGAATAGGGGTGGCTCATACACTTTGTGGGTAGCTTACAGTTTGGGGGCTTTTTAAGGAAAACAGTGCACAGTATGATACAGATTTAGGAGCCCCGCCCCCCCAAGCCCCCAGCAAGCAGGCCAGAAGCTTCCTTATAATCTGACGTCAGGCGGGAGTACAGGGTCCCACGCCTGCAGAGGGCTGGGTGCAGATGTGGTCTGCAGGTCTGGGTCTGGGCTGCTGAGAGCATCACAGTGACCAGGAGGTCACTGCTTGGAAGACGGGGGCCCATGTGGGGGGCAGGGGAGGTCCTGTCACTGCAAACACCTCACCCAACCTTAGTGCCTTAGAGTCCCAACCCTCTGCTTAGAGCTCAGGAGTTCGCCCTGTGGGCAGAGCCTGCAGGAAGGGAGGCCCCTGGCCTGATGGGAGCAGGACCGCAGAGCATTGCTTGCACCCCAGCGCCCCAGCACAGTCCTCAGCCAGGTTCACGGGGTGGTGCTCCGGGTCCCCCTTCAAGAGTGGTGATGGCGGCAAGTTCTGGTGGAGCAGGGGTGCTGCCTGGATTGGCCGTCATGTTTCCTCTATCATGTTAGCTAAGTCCCCGTTTGCTTCCATCTTCTGCAAAAGGTGAGTGAGTCTCCAGCCGGAAGTGGTGAAGCTAGGACACCCCGACTCAGAGGTTGGGAGGGGGCGCTCAGGGCCAAGCCTGCGCCCTGGGGGCACCTGCCTGGGAGGAAGGGCCCCAAAGCTGATGATTCCCATGTCACCAGCTGCAGACAGAGGGCAGTTTTAAGGACAGCTGCTGGGGGAGCATTTTGAGAATAAACTTTTAGGCACCGAGGTTCCTCTTGCATCAAACGGGTGGGGGGCGGGGGCGGGGTAGAGAGCAGTTTGGGACAGTCCCCAGGGGAGGCGGCTCTGGCGGCGGATGTAATGCAGGCCATCTGCTCCCGCACAGTCACGGTCACAGGCCTGGCGGCGGAGCACCTCACCCAAGCTGAACTGGAGTATCTACACCTCGTGGTTTCTGAGAACCCAGGGGCCCTGGCTTTTTTTTTTTTTTAAATAAACATACAAAGTGGACTGTATTGCCTTCAAGCTCCCCAACACATCCCCAAGACCGAAGGTGTGAATGGAACTAAAGATACTTGGGGGTCATGACATCATCTGTACGGCGGCTCCTGGGTGAGGCGGGGCCAGGAACCTACGCACCATCCAAAGTAGCTTCAACACACATCCCAACTGTTCTGATTAAGGTGGATGAGAAACACTGCCCGCCCTACGCCAAGGCAGCCCCCTCTCCATCCCTGCAGCGCCAGGACATGGGCCTGTTAATACAGTCTCATGGGACAGAGGATTCGGACCTTTCTGGGAGGAATGAAATCTCCAGAAGGGCTTAAAAATAACCCCCAAACATGCCATGTCTTAGCCAAGAAGCTAATGTTAAAGCTAAGAATCCAAATTTAGATCCCATCCAGTTCAAAAGAGCGGCCGCACCATTCCAAGGGTGTGCATGCGCACACAGGTCCAAGCGTGAGGCTTTGGACCCGACTGGCAGGGGCAGCAGCGAGACCCAAGTCCACCCGGGAGGGGACAGGCCAGTCTCCCTGCAAACAACCTGTCCCTTCCTACAAGTCCTTGTAGGCACCGGGGACTTCCCACGTCGGCGTCCTCAATCCTCCACTTCTCGCTCATCCCCGGGTCTGGGGAGTTGCCCGGGGCTGCAGGGCCGCAGGGCCGCAGGGCCTCCGTGCAGACGGGCCCCTCTGCCTTCAAGCTCTTTCCTAGGAAAGTGAGGAGGAAGTGACTTACATAGGTAAGTGAGGAGGAAGGGTCCTGAGGTTCCCGGAGGCTCTGGCAGCTGCAGGACGTTGTGTGCCCTCAGGTCCAGGGTGTGGCGTGGGTGGGGGGCTGGCACATTCTGGGGTGAAGGTGCCAGCTTACACACAGCCCGAGGCGCTGGGGCTTCGTGGATTGTTTGTCCAGAGAGGTCGAGTCCCCAGCTGAGCACGAGCACCCCCTGGGAAGGCCGGGGATCGGGTCAGGGCTTCACCGGGCAGCTGCTGGAGCAGAGGTGGGGCCGCCAGGCCGGGAGGACTCCAGGTCGGGGGGGGGGGGCAGTTATGCGCCGACAGGAACCTGGTTTCAAGGACGCCCAGGTAAATAGCCAACTTGTGGCCCTTGGAGAGACGGGAACGCCGCAGGGCAGCCTGGGAGCCAGGGCAGAGCGGCTGTCCAGAAGCCGGCTTGGGGAGCCACGGCCTCACGGCGCAGCCCTTCCCAGCACCGCCCGCAGCACCTGGATTCATGAGAACCCAGAGTAACCGCCGTTTATTTTTGAACTCGCTTCTTGGGCACAGGCACAAATGAAAACAAGCTAGTCCGGGATTTATTTAAAAAGGCAATTTCCAAGAAATGTCCTGGGGCACCGATGCGCTCAGTCCACCCCGCCCCGTGATGACCCGGACGACCAACGAGCGCCCTCACTGGAGACGCCTGAAGGCCGCAGCCTGCACCCAGCGCTGCCAGGGAAGTGCCGCAGTGGGGCCCTGCGACAGGCCTCCATCTCCTGCCTCAGAGATGACCCCAGGAGCTCAACAAGTTAACCAGGAACGCCATCCACCGGGTTCCCCGCGAGGCCACCCCAAGCGGTCGCTACCCGAGCATCTCACTCAACATTGTATTGAAACTGGGTGAGGCTTGGTGTCCCCTGTCCCCTCTCCTTCAGGGCTCCTGCACACAGGCCTGCTGCACGGCTGCTCTGGCGCCGTCCCTCCTTCCCGCAGCTCAATGTCAGCTCTCTCCGCGGCCAGCACGGCTTCCTTCTAGGTCCCATTGATGTGCCCAGCACCCTGTTGTGTTTGTCATGGCCTCGGCTTCCCTGTGCCTGTAAGTCTGTGTAGCGGATCTCTCACTGGCCTGGGATCCACTCACCAGCAGCCCCTGGCCTGCGTGGCACAGGTAGGCGCACACTCACCTGCCCCTGGAACAGAGGGCTTCCCAGCTGCAGGAGCCCGGCTGAGGCTGACATCACTTTATTTGCCCTCATTTGGACTTTTAGCAACAAAAGGTGATTCACTGTTTCCTGCCACACTGGCTAGCGGAAGAGCAGAGTGTCAGATGGAGTGTTCCTGACTGTTCTGCTTGGATGGGCCTTCCCCTGCAAGTCCTCAGGCTGGCGTGGGGCCTTCCTCCCTCTGTCCACCTGTGGGAACGCTCCTGGGGGCCACATGCGACAGGCAGGAGAGTCACAGAAGCCAGAGAGAGCTGGGTGCAGGGAGGGTCCCGGAAGCAGAGCAAGAGCGCCATGCAGAATCGGGCACCGGGGCCCCACTGGGCAGAAGGGGGCTTTTCTGAGAGAGGCCGCCTAGCATCATAGGACGGGCAGGAGCTCCGTCTGTTGCCCTAAGTGTGCAAGCAGGAGAGATACATGGAAGGATAAACATCCAAACGGCAGATCTTTCATCCAAATGGCATCAGGCCTCAGCCACATCCCACCACAACCCTTAAAAATGACCTGGGTGCTTCACCCGAACATGCCCCAGAGAGACGCTTCAGGGGAGGTGGGGACACTGGCGCCCTAACGGCACTACCTCGCCCTGCACCCCCTGCCTGGAGCCTGCCCTCCTCAGTTCTGGCTTCTCCCTACTGCTCCGTGGGGTGTGTAGCTCTGGTCAGCAGTATAACCAGCCCTCCCTGGCCCGAGCCCCGCAGCCCATGGCCCTGCCACCCCCCGGCCTTGCTCGGTGGCCCCTGCTTCATCCCGAGCACATGAGCTTCAGGCACAACTGGATCAAACTACTTGAGTGGCATTGTCCGTATTTTTAGAAGTCCTAAAGCTGAGGGGAAATTCACCCAAACCACAGGTATCTTAGTACCGAGATTTCTGAGGACCTCGATGTGCGGAGTAAATGCTGTGTGGTTCAGATTTCCCGGACGCTTATGTATTATATTTTTATTCTTAAAATTGATACATGCTATCAACTCGCATGAAGAAAAGCCTGGAGGGAAGAGGGTGAGCTGCTGGAAGTCCAGCTGCAAACAAGAGAATCCACCCTCTGAACTGAGTCGGCATCCATTCCCACTGGGAGGCAGGGTGCTGGGCTGGCAGGACCCGCTGGGCTGGCAGGTGCACACGGGGCCATGCAGCGTGGGGGGCTCTGGTCCGTGCACACAGCCATGTCTTCAGGACTGCTACGCTGATTCACTGCTGGGGAGGGGTTAGGAATCCTACTTATCACACCGCCTCATTTTTGTTTGTTTTTTGGTGGGGGTGGCTGTTATTTCCAGTTTTATATATACTACCTACGGCATCTTTCTGCCCCGAGGCTGGAGCTCCACATTCTCACCTGGCCGCTTGCTCATCTTCCTGTGAACGCTGCACATCTGCACTTGTCAGGATGTGTGGATAGCGTGCTGTGGAGCCACGCTGGCCATACAGGGTGCTCCTGCCAGGGGGACCCGCACGAGAGGATAACCGGCAAGCAGGTATGGGGTCATGGAGGCAGAGGACAGTGAGGGCCTAGATCCAAGGGTGCGAGCACCCACTCACCTCACTTTCACTGGTGGCCTTGACACATGTCAGGAGTGCCACATGCACAATGAAACCCACTGGGAGACCTTGGCTTCTGGAAAGGTACCTGCCCCGCGAAACACACACTCCAGGATCCATGCTCACATGTGGTCTTCCCTCCTAAAGATGTCATATGCTGCAGCTGCAGGGCAGCAGGACCTGGGGTCTGGTGGGATCCAACACGATGGGAAAACAAATGCATTTAAGGCAAATTTTAGTATGTTTATAAAAATCACATTCACAAAACATGGTACACCAAGCACCGTGGCTGTAGAGTTTTTACCCTTCGCGGTATGTATTCTCACCTGGTATGTGGTATTCATAAACGGAGGCCTACCCAGCAGCACCGGGGGCGGGCTTGGCTGTACACGAACTTCCAGGGTGGTGCCTGCAGCTGAGCAGGGGGCTGCTCCTCCTGGACTTCCCTTTAGTGGAGACCCCGGAAGGGCTCCGGGCTCTGTTTCCCTAGGGAACACTGAAGCCTCAATGTCAGCAGCCTGGCCCTTTGGCGGGGTCCTCCGTGCACACTCAGCACCAAGGCCATGCAGCGGGCAGGTAAGGTGAGCACAGGGCCAGCCAAGATGTGGCTGGGCATGGGACACCGCACCTGGGTCAGAGGATAACTTGCCAATTTTAGTGGTTTGAATGGAGTTAAGAAAAATGACCTTTGGAATGTTTTATATCAATCTGAAGATGTCCAAAGATGAATCTTTAAGATACTAGAGGTGGACAGCCTCCACAGAGATCTGTTTGAGATTCCTTCATAAGCAGGCTTGTTAAACAATCTAACAGGAGGCAGGAGGGCCTCCGTGTATGAGGCCAGTTCCTATGTGGGGTGTGGGCACGTGGGCATGTTGGGAGCACGTGTAGCCCCTAAATGCTCCTGGACCCTTGGCGGCAGGACAGACGGTCTCTGGCCTTGGCTGTGGGTCACAAAGTGGGGCCTCCTGGAAACCCTGCTCTCAATCTTCCTTCCTGGTGGTCACTGTGATGTCCCCTGGGAGAGGTGGCCAGAACCAGGGGAGGAGCGGTTCTGCTCTTCCCCAACATCAGGGCAGCCTTACCAGATGATGTGTGGTCCATGCTGGCCAGCCCTTGGGGAAGTGCTGTTCCCACAGGGAACTCCACCTTGGCTGTGGATAGCTTGGGAGCATGCTCACTGGGGAGAAATACATCAGCTTTTAAAAACACAAAACAAAGTGAATGCACGGTTAATAAAAAGGCTCTGAAGCGACAGGCCTGGAATAACAGCCCCGTTGTCATCACAGAACAGGACCTGCCGCATGGCCGGTCCTGTCCATCAGTGCGCCAGGTAGCCCGTCTCCTGGCCTGATAGGAAATTTGGGCTTGTTCAGCTGCTCCCCAGTAGCTGCTCTTGTGTTTCACTCTGGTTCTTGTTACGAAGACATAAAACAGAGAACCCTCTGAAAGGAAAAAGTGCCTAGAAGCAGCTGGAAAATCAAGAACCTAATTTTCCAGTTGAGCCACATGCACTGTCAGCCAGGTGCAGAGTCTCCAGGCCCCTCTTGCTAAGATGCCCACAATGACATTTTGATGCTCTGCTGCTGGATGGTAAGATCAGAGGGGGGTGAGCCGCCACAGGGCAGGGTCAGACCCCAGAGCACAGGCCCACCCCGTCCACCAGCCAGCTGGAAGAGCCTGCTGCCCTCTCCCGTGGGAGAAGCACACACCCAGCCCCTGCCACACAGGGAAACCAGTCCCTAGGTCCCTAGGAACCCGCGTGTACCCAACGGTGCCCTGCTTCTCCGTCCAATTAGGCAAAGCTCAGAGCTCACACAAGGCAGCTCTAACAACCCGGCAGCTCCAGGCCCAGCTCGGAGGCGTCACTACGATCAGGGTTGTCAGATCCACTGCAGGCACACACCCTCCTCCGAGGAGGGAAGCCAGGCAAGAGGAGGGGCCCGGGGAGCCACCTGTTAGGTTTTCACCTGAAGAGAACAGCAGCCGTGGGCAGATTAAATCCACCCACTTTAACACACCATCCGAACACCACAGGAGAAGCCGCTTCCAAGTCCAAGAGCCCTGAAGTCCTTCCCCAGCAGAGGGTGGGAGTCAGACCTCGCAGCGGGAGTGGGGAGGCAGCAGGGGCTTCTTTGCAGCCCAGGCCTCTCTCTACCCGCAGCCACCGCCCGAGGTTCAGCCGACACCTTTCCCTGAGTTTGGGCACCCACCAGCACACCGTGTGCCCCTAAGTGCTGACACGGCCCAGGGGCCAGCTGTTGAATCCTCTTTGTGAACCAAGGGAGCCTCCTTTCCTCGGGGGACCCACACCTTTCTTGTCAGGGCCCAGGAGTGCCTTGTGAATGGCACTCAAGCCCAGTGTCCCCACACCACCTCCCAACCAGGGCTGGCGGCCCTGGTGCCTCATCAGTGACACAAAGAACCACACATACCTGCTCCCTCCATTTCCGGGGACCGTTTCAGAACGAGGCTACCAAGGCCCATCCGACATGCCTTATGGAGAAGATGGGACCAAGAGACTGGAGATCCCCCCATGCTGGGGAAGGCTCGGCCAGAGCTCACCAGTGCGTTTCCTTGAGGCAGGCCACAGCGAGGGCCAGAGTTGGTGCCCGAGTGAGATCATGAAGCAGAATTCTCACCCAGCGAAGTGGAGGATCCAGCTTGGGAAAAATCCTCCAGGATCGTTGATCTGCTTCAGAGGCTCTCTGCCTGGCTGCACAAGATTACTGGGGGCTTGGGAATCCGCGTAGACCGTGCTCCTACTGCATAGGCCCTGCCTGGGTAGCTTAGCCCGCGGCCTCTGTGAAGTTCCTTGGGGGATCTGACCGTGGCGTCAGAGTGGAGAATCACTGTCTTGTCCCACGTTTATGAGTGTTGAAATTGGAACTCAAGGAGCTCAGCCCACAGCCTGGAGATAATGGAGAGCATGCAGCACGCTCCTCGCTGGCGTTTCTCTAGGAGTTTGTGCCTCCTCTCACGTAAACACCCATAGCAGCGTCCCACCAGGCCACGGCCGCTGGACATCACCTGCACGCCTCTTTCTGGAAAAGACCCCTGAAATGATGAACCATGCCCCCGGCTAGGAGGCCTTCATGCTACGGAGTGGCAGGTTTCTCCATCCTGTGGCTGGGAGAAGAGCCTCAGGGGCCAGGGCAGCAGAGTCCCCACCTGCCCCTCTCTCTGGCCACCTCCGGTAGTGGGGCTCATCTGCGTCAAGTGTCAATCACCAGCTCTCTCTCCTCGGGCTCCCGAACCTCAGAGCAGCGCTCGGGGCCTCGCTCACTCGCACTACGTGAGGGCAGCACACACGCACGCGCACACACACGTCTCTGTGTACAAGACGCTTTTATTGGCTTCTAAGCTGTGTTTCCTATGCTTTCACAGAAAGCAGTACTTGTGACAGTTCGGTGTGTGGGGCTCTGTTCAGCGCACTTTGAGAAATAAAAGCTGGTTACCAGAGAGAGAGACAGTGAACCTTCAGGGACAGTGGGGATTGGCGTTGTTGGGCTTTGAATTTTGGGGTTGGGTTTGAGAGCAGAGAGCAGATGTTAAGGAGCACCGGGAGAGCGGGGTGGTCGTCACCACAGCGGACCCTCCAGCCAGGGCGAGCAGGCAGTAAAATGTGAGCCGTGAGCCGTCCGTGCAGGCTGCGTGTCCCGGTGGGTGCCTTCATCCCAGAAGCCCTACCGAGTCCGTGTCTGCCTGGGACATCCCCAGAAAGCCCCAGTGAGGGAGTCCTCACTGATCATCTAGCGTTGAGGGTACTTTTGGATCTTGGAGTTAAAATAACCAGACTTATTTTTCTTTTATCCAAGAAGTAAAAAAAGCTACAAGAATATGAATACTGGAGATCTCGGCACATCACGACACTAAACACAAAGTCTTTTGAGACTACATCTCTACAAATGGTAAAGTATTTTGGGGAAAAGGGTTCACGCATCCTTCTACATAAACAGTATAACCATGAAGAAAGTTCTTATTTTGAGGAAGTTTATTGTTACATTTTGCAATAATAGATGAGGCACGACTAGCTCCTGCTTCTCCAACTCAATAAAAAAGACAAATAATCAAGGATAACAGTGAAATTAAAATTAAAAAATACAAAAGCCGAAAGTTTTGGAGACAAAAACAACTACAGTCTATGTGTGGGAAAGCTGTGAATGGTTTTAGTTGAGCCTTGCAAATAGTTTTCTTTCCCCATCCCAAAGAAGCCCAGGGCTCTGAGCTGGGGTCTTTACAGACCTTCCCCTCTGCCCGGTCCGGGAAGCCGGTTGTGGACCCAGGTGGTGCCTGCCCCGCTCTCTGGGCAGCTCAGTGCGCAGCCCCAGCCCTTCCCCTTGTGTACTCCCACTCCGTGGGTTAGAGAGGCTGGAGCAGTGTGGACGCAGCCAGCCGAGCAGCCAGCTAAGCCTGGCCCAAGATGCCCCGAGCAGCATGGCCAGCGGCCTGGGCCTGGGTGGTAGCGCTCCCGCTGGCAAGCAGCAGCTTGAGGCCCTGGCCATGACTCGCAGAAGGGCCACCACCCCATGCAGCAGGCTGTGGACCCCTGCAGCCGCGAGAAAGGACCCCAGACTGCCCCCAGGGAGCCCGCCAGGGGTGCTTTTTCTTTAAGCCATGGTCATCGGCACTGACCCTGGGTCACATCCTCTGGTTTATGAGAAGCCCCAGGAAGCAGTACAAAAACAGCAACGTTTTTTTCCCAGCCAAGAAAACCAAAACCCCAACAAACATGGACACAAAGCCTTGAGCACCAAGAGCGAAAGAGAATTTCATGTTGTCTCCTCATTAGGAACAATGATAACAAGATGACTCAGGGGCAGGCTGTGCTCCCTTCCCTTGTGGGTCAGCATCTGCCACAAGATGAATGTTTATCTTGCTCGCCGGAAAGGAGCCAGGAGGAAGACGTGGAAGGGACACAGGATCGGGACAGGGTGGCCTTGGGACACGCGTTACTCGGCCACAGTCACGCTCTGAGGCCGGCTGGAGGAAGCTTTTTTTTTGGTTCTCTTTTAAATGCTGGGGGAAATTCCACCACACGGGATAGACCTTCCTAGGAGACGAATGCACAGTGGGGCCAGCTTGGGATGCAGTGTATCTGACAGCCGGGGAAACCCCGCATGAAGGAAAGTGGGCAAGTGCACGGAAGGGAGACTCGTCTGCCCACGTCCACACCCACAGGCTTGGGCAGCTTCTCCCGGACAACAGATGTGCCGCGTAGTGTTTGCCTGTGATGCGTGTGCATTAGTGGAAGCAAGAGACCCTGGGAAGAATCAAGACTTGGAGCAGAGCCGAGAGCAGGGACTGGCTGTCCAAAGGCATCGGGGTGGTGGCAGTGTACAGAAGCTCTGAGAGTCTGGGCTTTCTGAAAAGTCAGCTGTGGCATTCACCAAGGCTCTACTAGGAATCCTGCCAGTTTTCAGAAGCCCCGAGAGGAAGAGGAAGCACTCTGCTACCTTCCAAAAGAAGGGAGTGCGGATGCAGCCAAGTGTAGGTGTCGGAAGAGGATGTACAGGACACAGCAGCCACCCGAAGGCTGGTGGGGAGGGAGGGCAGGTGCGTGTAACAGGCACCGAGTGCACCCACTGACAGTGTGCTGGCTGTAGGGCATTAAGGCAAACCCACTCCCATTCCCACCCTCTAAAGCTAGGGGCCCCTGGCCTCAGCCAGTGTGCCTGGACCAGGGTCTCTCAAGAAATTGGCACTAGGGTTTTACAAGGCAACGTGCTCGCTTTGGAGGTGGCGCGGAGACACCTGACCTCCTGCAAACCACCGTTAGGCTAAGCTCTCAGGTTCATCTGTCTCAACGGAAGACTCGCAAGTTAAGAGGAAAAAGCCATCTGCAAGGCCCGCTGGTTTGTGTTGTCATTACAGAGTGCGTGTGTGTGTGCACACACCTGCCACACGCACATGATCCTCGATTAAACTGTGTCAGAGAAGGAATACAGTTCTGTAAAGAGAGAGAAGGCTGTGCTACTAGGTATTACGAATTAATACCAAAGTGACCCCTTGGATTCTCAGTAGTTTGACTACGCCCCGGGTTCAGTAGCTCACATCCAGGTGTCCATGTCCCCGGGCCTGGGGCGTGGCGGTGTGGCCGGCGCGGTGGTACCCCTGAGCTGGGCGCTGGGGGCACGGATCCGAGAAGCCCACTCCAGGCCCAAGAGGTCTAAGCAGCAGCCACTGAGGCTGCTATGGGCAACAGTGAGGCACGCCCTCTCTCACTGCAGCATGATGTCCTTCAGATTCTCCTGCAGGATGGTGTCCTTCACAGCATGAAACACGAAGCGGATGTTCTCCGTGTCGATGGCGGTGGTGAAATGGTGGAACAGTGGCTTGCTGCGATTCCGTCTCTTGCGGTCGAAACATTGGACCAAGTAGCGCTGGACGTCCTCCAGCCTGTGGGGGTCACCTTTGAAGTCTGGGAAGTGCTTCTTGATGCTGACAGTCTTGACCTTTTCCACCAGGAGGTCCATCTTGTTGAGGAACAGGATGATGGACACGTTGAAGAACAGCTTGTTGTTGACGATCGTCTCAAAGATGTTCATGGACTCCACCAGCCGGTTGGTGCGCCTGTCCTCCATGAGCACCTGGTCGTACTCACTGGAGGACACCATGAACAGGATCGATGTGATTCCATCGAAGCACTGGAACCACTTCTGGCGCTGGGACCTCTGGCCACCCACGTCCACCATCTTAAAGGGGATTTTTTTAATAACGAAGTCATGTTCCACAATGCCCTTGGTGGCTTTCCGCGCCAGCAGGATGTCCTGCTTACTAGGAAAGTAATTCTGTAAAATATGGAAGAAGGGAAGAATTTTAGCAGGTGAAGAAGAACATGGGAAAATAAGGATCAAGAGTCTGATGGACTTGCGTGAGAAGTTAAACCAAACACCAAAAGCAAATTTCATTTGTAAAATCAGACGCTGGCTGCGGGATGGGAAGTGAAGGTACGAAGCAGCTTGTTTCAAATGAGCAGAGGCTTGCCAGGCAGAGGCCGGTTGTTGGAATCCCCACCATCAGCCCCAGCCAGAAACCTCACTCATGTTCGTATCCACAGGAGGCTGACCACTGGTTCTGTTTCTGCCCACAGCCCCCTTTTACTTTTCTGACTTCCAGGGTGTATGCGCTCCTGAACCCTACTGTGAACTAATTTAATCGAGGTTTTGTGATGCTGGTTAGATTAAGTCTGCAGTATACTTAATATGCCATCCTTGGGAGTCTTCAGCAACCGTGGTGCTGCCCGGTTAAAACCTCCATGACTGCTGGGCACAAGCACTCAGGCAGTGGCCCTGCCAGGAACCAAATAGGGACGACAAGGTCCCTTCAGAGGGGTGCAGGGGACAGAGAAGCAATAGCAATCTGCGTGAGAGGCCCCGATGCAAGAGGAATGACCCAGCTACTTCAACAAATAAATGGAAAAGAAGGCAAGACAGACGAGAGAGAGACCTACGGACTATCCCACATTTGAATAGTGTGGCCCAGTGGTGAAGGATGAATTCCAACCACACACTCAGGAAAACATGAGTGAGACCCCCAGGTAGACCCCCAACTGAGCTGGATGTGGGTTGATATCAGGGAATGTTGCCGATCCTTTTTTTTTTTTTTAAAAAGATTTTTATTTATTTATTCATGACAGAGAGAGAGAGAGAGAGAGAGGCAGAGACACAGGCAGAGGGAGAAGTCCCCGATGTGGGACTCGATGTGGAGACCTGGGATCACGCCCTGAGTCAAAGGCAGATGCTCAACCGCTGAGCCACCCAGGTGTCCCAATGTTGCCAATATCTTAGGAGCTATGACAGCATCATGGTCAGGACTCTGGAGCCCCATCTTTGGTGAAATCCCTCACCTGAGTTTGTTCTTTTTTTTTTTTTTTTTAAAGATTTTATTTATTTATTCATAGACACAGAGAGAGAGGGACAGAGACACAGACAGAGGGAGAAGCTGGCTCCATGCAGGGAGCCCGATGTGGGACTCGATCCCGGGTCTCCAGGATCACATCCCTGGCTGCAGGCGGCGCCAAACTGCTGCGCCACCGGGGCTGCCCCTGAGTTTGTTCTTGTGCTTGTCTGGGTTTCCCGAACAAGAAGTTCCAGGAAATCCTCTGTTCACTAAAGAGTCCCTGTGTCCTCTGTGGTAGTCAGGGCGGGAATGTGAGGAGGAGGACATGCCCATGCTGCACCCTGACACAGAGTCTGGAGTGGACAGGGACGTTGTGCACGCTCACGTCACAGGGGCTGCTCTAATCTCCACGCATGCGCTCCTTAACCCTGGCTCATGGTTCTCGGGGTGGCGTCTGTACTCACCAGCTGGCCAATCCGGTCCAAGTTATCCAGAAAGTACTTCACCGATTCACCCTGTCACAGAGGAAAAATATGCACAACTCAGTCTTGGTGGAGAACCCTGATCTGGCCACCAGCAGATCATAATAGAGTCGTATGAGTGGTATTTCACATCTGTATAAATGGGAAGGCAAAGGGACCACGAGCATCAGGAATTGTTAAAACTTAAAAACACAGTTGAGAGAATTTTTAAATGCAGTTTCTCTAGCTGTGGCCCCAAGATTCAAACTCAGACTGTTTTCAAAGCACCCCTGCATGACTCAGGTGACGGGCAGGGAGCTGGCCCCGCTGACCGGGCTGGCTGGCTCCAGAGCTGGAACGTTACATTGGGAGCCTCTGAGCAGTCCTGCTTGGACAGACGTGGCCCTGGGCTCCGCAGACGTGGTCTCTAAGGAGGGTGAATCTTCAAGAATAGGCATGTGACAAACACCTTCCAGTTTCTGGATGTGGGCCTAACATTCCACCATTACTGCCCACATTCCTAAGACCTGATTGGTAGGTAGCCTAGAATCAGGAGAAGCTTCAGTCGGGATTTTTTTTTTTTTTTAAGATTTTATTTATTCATGAGAGACACACACAGAGAGGCAGAGACACAGGCAGAGGGAGAAGCAGGCTCCATGCAGGGAGCCCGATGTGGGACTCGATCCCGGGACCCCGGGATCACACCCTGGGCCAAAGGCAGACGCTCGCTCAACTGCTGAGCCACCTGGGGATCCGGATTCAGTCGGGATTCTTGAGGCAGGAAAGCCAATTCTTCACCCCCCCGGACATTCTCTGCACCGAATGTTGATACAAGGCAGTTCTCCAGCACTTTGAGAAGCGTCTGGAGGGCGTTGAAACGCTCATGGGAGTGGGCTGAACAGAGGGTAAGCGTACGGGTGTGGCGGTCTTCCCTCCAGAAGCAGAACACAGACAATTTACCAGGACGCGCTGGGCCGCATGCGCTCCGTTACACAGCCCCAGGGACAGTCCCCTCGGACAAGCCCACATCTGGGGCAGGTGCCCGATGTGAGCCCTCCCCCAGGGGGTCTCCTACTCCAGGCCCAAAGGAAGAAACTAAGGAGTCAACTTCCTTCAGCGGAATCAGCCTTCCGTGTTACGATGATAGCTTCTGGAGGACTTAGAAGAGAGCATTTTTAAGGGTGACAGAGGCATTCCACACATTCTAGCACAGAGGAGAGTGAGGTTTCCTCTGGAACATCAGGGTGCGCTGGGTGTGCAGCCTGCCTTCTGCCCTGGGGACATCCGGGTGGGAGAGGTGGCACCCCAGTCTCTGCCACTCCGCCCCCTCTGACACCAGCCTGGGTGTGGGGATAGCCGTCTCTGCAGACAGTGAACCCACCTGACCCACCTGATTTGGGACTGCTCCTCCCCCATAACCCTGTCTCTCACCACCCCCCCCTCCCCCCGCTGCCTCCCACTCGGGGGCTCTGCAGGTGAAGGAGAGCCTATGAAGACTCCAGCAGGATCTGCCTACCTGCCACTGTGTCCATGCACCAGAGGCCAGTTGGTGGTGGCGAGGTGGCAGCCCGGGCCACCCTGGGCCACTCTGAGGCACATGGTGGTGGTACCAGGTAAAAAGAAACTGGAAAATGCTCCCCTACCAGGGGTCTCGGTTTGGCTGGGCATCAAGTCACGGCAAGGCAGATGCCCCAGCCAATGTTCTGTCCCCAAGGCATGACAACTGTCCTGGGGAGACACTGAGACATGAGTGCTTACCCCAATGGCACAGGTGTGAAAGGGAAAGTGCCCCTAGAGAATATAATAAGGATGAACGAAGTATAAGGTATGAAAAAGCAAGTCTGAATGGAAATACCCCCAGTGAGCCTGAAGTCAGGGTCACCCCAGCTGTGCTCTGAACACCACCATCCTTTCACTCCTTCAAAGCTACAAGGTTTATCTAAGACTCTCTGCCACTCCACACGACCGGTGGCCTGCGTGCTCTCTGAGCAGGGGGTGGTGGACGAGGAGGGTATGGTACCCAGTTTCATGCCAGGCCTGTCTCTTCTTCTGGGCGCTAACTCTCAGGTCCATGTGAGGGCTGCTTTGGAGCTGTCCATCCACAGAGCTCTCCATCATGGGGAGAAAGGGGAGGAGGGAAGAGAATCAGCGTGTTCAAACCAGCAAGGAGTCGCTGAGCTCCATGCTCCGTGGCCCCACCGGGCTGAGTGGGAACCATGGTCTGGACACTGGTTTAACCGCCAGGGACTGAAGTGTGCACCATCGGATTCCACACACAGCCTAGGGAACAATCATTTGCATGGGCTTCAAGGTTCCCAGGGCACCCACTCATTAAAACATCCATTCTGATAGATTTCCAACACTAGGGGGATGGAGTCATGTCTTCGGAGAGATGGCAAGGGGCAGGAGCTGATGTGCCACCGTGGAATTAACCACTTGGCACCTGCTACAGACAGACTGACTGTGCTTCCACCTTCCCATCATGTGCTGAAACCCAGCCCCCAGTGCCATGGCATTGGGCAGTGGGGCCCCATGAATGGGGTCAGTGCCCTTGTAAAAGAGACCCGGAGCACTGGCTCCTGCCGCTTGTCTCATGAGGACACAGTGAGAAGACACTGTTCGTGAACCAGGAGCCGGACTGAATCTGTGGGCACAGGGCTTTCCAACTTCCAGAACATTTCTCACAACCGCAGGCTAGGTATGTCGGTCAGCAGCCTAAATGGATCAAGACGGCACCTTTACAAAAAGAGTCTCATGTGTGACAGAACAGTCCCAGGGTCCTCTTGACGCCACTGCAGTCATGTGGTCTGATGAGAAAGAGTACACGAGGAATGGGCATTTTATAACACTCTTTGATCTGAAAATCTAAGTCACTTTTTTTTTTTAAAGATTTTATTGATCTATTCATGAGACACACACAGAGAGAGGCAGAGACATAGGCAGAGGGAGAAGCAGGCTCCACGCAGGGAGCCCGATGGGGGACTCAATCTTGGGTCTCTAGGATCAGGCCCTGGGCCAGAGGCAGATGCTCAACCATTGAGCCACCCAGATGTCCCTAAGTCACTTTGATAACACCAATGGATTCACGGAGTAGACAAGGCACAGATGTGCAAAGTTGTGCTCAGAGGCCACCAGGCACATCATTGACATCACACTGCCTCTCTGACCCAACTCCTAGCAAGATATGCATTTTTATTACCAGCAGCTGGATGTGTCTGGGGGGGTGCTGGTGATGGAGAAGGGGGGGTGGGCAGTTTCAAGCAGCAGCGGGTCTTTTTGGAGCACTTGCAGCTGTGTCACAGAGTGGCAAATGTGGCTGGAAGACATCACACCCACAGAGAATGAAGCTCATGGCAAGTGAACTCTATTCCTCACGACATCTTCCCTGGGAGCACCCATTACCCACCCCTGCCTCGGATGAATCACACGTAGTGGGCTTGCTGCTGCTTTGAAATTCCCGTCACCAAATCACCAGACATATCCCACCCCGTCTCTGCATCATGAACCAGCCCCGTCGGTGGACATGGGCTGACCATGTGCTCCTCATTCAGCTACTTCAAGACCGCCACAGAACAGACTGGGTTCTTTCAACAGTGCACAAAACCAAGCAGTCAAGATCAATGCTGCAGGGGGACTGGTCACACCTGCCTCCCTGCCAGCGGTGTGCCCCCATTCTCCTGCATCCTTGTTCAGTTGCTGGTATGTCCTGCCAGTGGCTCAGGTGGACGGGTGTTAGTGAGGTGAGTGCATGAGAAGCGCCTGCTGGGTAAGAACCACTGACAAAGCTGGCGTGCAGGTGGGGTCGGAGGCCATCAAGGGACGGTGGCTCCAAGGATCTCCACCTGGGGCCGTGCTTTTCAGTTTGAAATCCTGTGTGCACAGGAGCATTCTTATAGTTTCTGGACTTAGGGACACTGATTTTTATAATTTAAAATCTTAAAAAAGATTTTAAATTTATTTATTCATGAGAGACACACACATACACACACACACACACACACACACACAGAGAGAGAGAGAGAGAGAGAGAGAGAGAGAGAGAGAGAGAGAGACAGGCAGAAACACAGGCAGAGGGAGAAGCAGGCTCCATGCAGGGAGCCTGACATGGGACTCGATCCCAGGTCTCCAGGATTACACCCTGAGCTGAAAGCAGAAGCTTAACCACTGAGCCACCCAGGCGTCCCTGATTTTTATATTTTAAAATGCTGTCAGTTGTGCTGGGATGGAGACACAGGGCTGGTCAATGGTGAGCTACAGGACTTGGAAGTTTACTCGTTTAAACATAACAAATTACAAATACAAATTTTAAAACTGCTGTATATAAAAAACGACAACAAAGTATTCCAAAGGTCAAATTTTCATTTTCATTACTTACTATCAAATTTAGGACTTAACTTCGGCTTAATAGAGATGCTAACCAAACAACATGTTTGAATAGAGAACTACAAATACTTAAAAAAAAAAAAGATCTAATCCCCAAGAGGAGAAACCCTCATTGTGAATTCAGGCTTTGCCAATACCTAGGACATTTCACTGGGGTCTTGGGAGAATAAATGATATCAAAGCTCTGAGAGTGTTCTGGAAAAAGATAAAGCACCATATTAATACACATCATAGAAACAGAGATCCTCAAATTTTAATCTGGTGCCTATAAATCATCTGTTGCTAATTTATAACCCTAAAATATTAGGGACAAGGTTCAGTGTAGCACCTCTACCATATCAAAAGCCCCAGATGGGGACACCTGGGTGGCTCAGTGGTTTAAGCATCTGCCTTTGGCCCAGGGTATGATCCTGGGGTCCCGGGATCAAGTTCCACATTGAACTTCTGCAGGGAGCCCACTTCTCCCTCTGCCTGTGTCTGCCTTTCTCTCCCTGTGTCTTTCATGGATAAGTAAATAAAATCTTAAAAAAAAAAAAAAAAAGCCCCAGATGAACCCAACTGTCCACAGACAGAAGGAAGGCTGGATGGACCAAGCCCGTTATCTTCATGCTGGGAGTCACATGCAGCTGTGGAGAGTGGATGGCTGACACACAGCCATGTGAGAAAAGGCA